TACTACAAGGCCAAGTCCAACCAAAACTAATATTTCAGTCTTGTGTGGATGTTGGTAGGTGAATTTCCACTGGCTTCTTACATATCTCCCACAGTCCTGGAGCAAGCTCTGACCTGCATAATTCTAAAGTCTGCTCCATACTGCTGCTACATATAGGTCATATGAGTGTATCTTCAATCTATTACTACGTTCTCCATATTGAAACGCATAGCCCAGGGGTAGGCAACCTTGCCAGATGTCCCATAAGACATTGCAAGACTGACAGCCATCGGCAGGCATGATAGGATTTAAAGTTCCACCACAGCTGCAGTGGTTGCCTATCCTTGGTATAGTCTGACAACTTAGGCTGATGTGTAGGCATATAAAAACCCAATTTAACTAAATTATGTATTAATAAAATGTATATATGGATAAATAGTACCCCAGCATGTCCCAATATTAGCCTGATGTAGTAACCCTGCAATGAATTAAGTGTGGAAGAGGAAGGAGTGTCACTGTAATCCAATCAGGTTTTAAACAGTTGCTCAGTGCATACAGAACTTGCTGATAGGAGGAGAGAGTGCAGGGTTCACCCCTGCTCATCTACTATGCAATTGCAAGTTGGAGGTAAGGGGCCATCCTTGACCAGCCTGATCTGGTTTAACTGCATCTAGCATTGTTTGAGAGAGGGTCAATAATGGCCGTCTCCGTATTTCTACTCAGATCAAGTCCTGGATAAAACCTGCCATTTGAGAAATAGAGGGCTGCTATTGCTAATCTCCTCCTGAAAATCCTGACGGGCTGTTTTACTAATCCAGCTATTTTATTTTCCTTTAGTCACTAACCCATATTTACTATAACTTATCTCAGCAAATCAGAGAGCGCCAGGCAACCAGCATTTTCAATAGGTCAGCAATGGCAGACTGTTTTTCTCTTGACAGAAATAAAGTAAAAACAGTGCATGGAGTCATGCAAATCATTAATTTACCACGGGGCTAAATTGTGCATGCCAGTTTATTTATAACACACATACAGCCTAATATACGGAACCATTTAATGTAAACTGCATGCAGCTATTTCAGCCTAGTTGGCCATCATCAGTGCTGTGTATGAAAATGAAGGCTTCTATGGCTTAGGGCTTGAGGACCAACAAAAAAGTAGAACAAGTATGGTGAGGTGGGCATGAAGGATCCACAAAGCTCTCCACTAAACTATTGAGATTTCTGATGAAAGTGATGTAAATGTCTGATGTACTTCACTGTGAGTTGGTATCCAACCAAAACTGTAAACCTAAAGCAGCATTATATGTGTAACAGTATATTCTGGAAATTCTGCATGTTAGCCCTACATAAAAGCAGAAAAGAGTTGAAATAAACTGATATTATTTGCAAGCTATCTGAATTAATTTATAATGTAGCTTTTCTTGAATGCGTAGGCGTTCTATGTCTTTATGATGCCAAAGGAGGCTCTTTTTCCTGTTGCACCCTCCAGGTGGTTTTTACCGGTGTATTTGGAAGCCTATTAAAAGCAGAGAGCTTACAAGGTCATTCCAAAAAGCCTCCAAATTTCTATGTGACTATACTTAAAAAGCTGATTGGTGGGACACAGACAACGGTGCACCTACTAGCCATTGCTGTGCACATACTTGAAGGGTTTTCCACTTTCCAACGGTGGAAATAAAAACCCTTTGCATGAGCATTCTCAAGAATCTTTTTTTATGGTGGGCAGACTGTACTCTGCTACACCCATCAATCCTATAATCATCCTAAATTGATCATTCTTTACATGAACATTCTCAAGATTCTTTTTTATGGTGGGCAGACTAGACTGTACACCGCTACACCTATCACTAATATATCCATCCTTAATTGATTGTTGAACTACAATCTGGACACTTAGCAGAGGCTGCACATATCTTCAGCCATTACTTTGTGAGCTCCAGGAATGCTGTATCCTAGGGTGCCCTAATATGCAAATGACACTGTTAGGAACTGGCCCATATGCTCCTGGAACTTCCTATTGCTCATGAAGGCCACCCAATATTGTTATGGTCCACCAGGAATGTGTGTGGGCAGACCATACACTGTACCGTTGAAAATAGAGTATTAGCAAGCCTTGCTTCTCAACACTCCTGAGGACCTCAAGAAAATATCTACAGGTATGTGCAGACACGTCAAGCTATCTCCTTTGTAGTTGTGCAGTCAAGTTTAGAGCACTTATAATGGCAGGTGGCCTAAATAACTCTCTCTGCAACCAGCGGACAGGGTTACACTCTTTGGTATACCTAAGTAATTATAAGGATTAGAACATCATAAAAGAAAAGAAAATATTAAACTGTAGAGGCTTTTTTTTCAGGTGATTGGACCTTTTTTTATCCCGTAGCATTACTTTTTTTTGTTCCTCAGAGTTTATCGGCAAAGAAAGACCATTATTGGTAGCATATAAACTGAACAAAGATCCAGATATGTTTTGTCAATCTTGCTCAAGTGCTTCTTCATATGACACGTCATACTTTTGCAACATGCTCAGATTCAACTCACCTCAATACTAACTTCTCCAATAAATCTTAAAGTACCATTGTCCAAAATGAAATCTAGCTGAAAACCAGGATTCTTTACGCCCCAACGGCTGTCTTTAAAGTTATATGAGCGAAATACATTTATTTACAAAGAATGTTATTTCTTATTATTCTACAAATGGTTTTAAATGCCCCTACATAAATGCCTGTACTAAATGCCAAGTACAGTTTTGTATATTTGGCTCCATGTGAGCAGACAGCCCTGGCTCTGCTGCCAAGATCTTTGATTGGTTGTTGTGACATATTAATCTTTGAAGAATGTATTTGACAGACTAGAAGTCTGTGCATTGAATCACGGCCTTTTTACTTCCATTGATACGCTACAAGAAAAAAACAACTCACCCATATGTTATTTTTATGACACCTAAGTAACTGTAGATGTCTTTCCTGTAATACAACATGCTCAACAAATTTTATACTGGATGAAAAAGATTACCGAAGCGAGAATACGTTCTTATTAGCCTCGATGTCTACAAACAGTAAAATAATTTAAGAAAGTCCAGAACAAATTGTTTTCCTGAAATATGTGTATGTGGGAGTCCCAAAATCTGCATGTGCATTAGAATTGTAATTAACATGCCATTCACTTCTGCCTCATTAGGGAAGAAAAGATAAGTTCTCCCATAGAGTTGTGTAGTGTAAACATTTAAATAAGTGTTATGTAACATATATTGTAAGACTGCATTTTATTCTTTTTATGGAAAAAGGAAATTAAATAGAAAACATTTTTGCTTACTGGTCAAAGTTGAGGATTATTGCCTTTGTTCTCTAAAAAATATTCCTTTTAATAATAATAATCATTTTTTTTTCAATAAAGTCTGCGTAATGACTCAGACTCGGGCTCTTTTTTTCTATCCCATTAATAAAATGACATTTTCACTACATCAAAAAGACATACAGTGCTGGATACGTAAATTAACCGGGTGCAGTCGATGGCAATCTCTGTTGACACCCATATTTTTATATTTGAAGTATGTGACATGCAGTAATCAGGGTGATTCTTCCTGTTTGTGATAATATTTATTTTATTAGAATGTAAGGGTCATATAAAGAGATATTTAGAGAAAGGGTTTTATATATTTATTGCTAGTAATGTAACAAAATATATGAACCCTAGAAAGGTTCAATTGAATTCCTTCAAACTTATTGAAAGAAAGTCTGAGCTGAAACTGATAAAAAACGTTTGAACTGAGTATTTTATTTATAGTTTTGTCCACATTTTTTACTTTTTATCTGAACACAGCCCATCTGCTTTGGAATCCGTTCAGTTCCCTCTTTGCTTTTTATTTTGACCTTCTAATGTTTAAAAGAATAATCTTGCAGAAAAGTATAACCCAAAGACAGTCCATTCAGTGGCCATGCCCTAATGGGACTGCAGTATGACGCAGTCCTCTAAGCCAGTATCACAAGTAGCTGGCTTGGTTAAACATGTCATTTGGGAAGTGTCCATAGAATTATTTTCACATCTTTAGCAACCTCGTAACTTAATGGGGGTTTGAATATTCACTATGGTAAACAAACTAAATTCCTCTATATGAAAAAAACAATATTCATTACAGTTCTGCAATTTTATTATATTTTGTATGTATTTTTATTCTTCTTTTTCTATTCTTTTTGTGGTTCAGAATCCTGAAGTGTACAGACTCGGGATTGCATACAGAAATTCAGATGTGTAGTGCTCACTCTTCATTCTACACATCCTATTTAAAACAGATCTTATTAGAACTGTCTTCTTGTTTCTCGAGTTGAATTTACTAGAAGTTCCTAAAAAGCTTTAGGATAATAAATGATAAAATAACTCATCAAAAAGACCTTAATAAAAATGCATGAACTTAAATTAAGTTTAATGAAATGAATCTGCACTTTAAATATAGAAAGGCCAAGGTAACTCTGACCTTATGGATAATAAACTCATCTATAAAATACTATTAATATGTATTGTCTAAAGATTTTGTTCGGCTCATTTTCTACTGTGCAGGCAATGTATGCAATACCGCCGACCACCAGCAGATGGCGGCAGATCTCCATTCTGCAACAACTGCACATCAGTCGATTATTAAAATCATAAACAATCTTAAAATATTGTTGTTTTTTTTTAATAACAAAAACATTGTTTATTGTAATCAATACATTCCAGATATTTTACTTGTGAATGCTTTGGCATTGTAGTTCTCATCAGTGTAAATCAGCAACCCAGGTGAAAAATCTTTCGGTACAGGGAAATAAAACCGGATGGAGATTTAAAAAAACACAAAGTGAATATTTAAGTCGTCATTTATTAAACAAAATAAGTTTTGCCAATTTTGGATAGCCACCAATGCATTTTGTCTCCTCTCCTTTCTCTCTACTCCCACCCGCTCCCCTCCATGCCGAGAACACATTACAAAAAATACACTTCTTTAGAGCTGTACAAAATTAAGAGGAGGCTTTTTTTTTTTTTTTTTTAACCTCCCAAAAAGGGAAATAAAAGAAAAGGGTTTGTATAAGCGATGAATATCATGCAAAACTGCACAAAGAAAAAAATGGAAACAGAAAAAGAAGAAAAAAAAAAAAGAAAAAAGACCAAACCAAATGGAAGACAAACTGATAATGCAAAATAATTGTTTGGGGACACAGAATGTTTGCATACCATTGGATTTTTGTTGTAAATAATGCACTTAATATTCCCAGCTTGAAGCTAACATACAGTAAATAAATATACAGTCTATGAGTCAGGGAATTCTATTTACTGGTATCCTAGCGCTGAAGCTGACGTTAACCTCTGTCCGTATAGAGCGTACGGGGAATAGTAAGATCCTGCCGGTAATGAAGGCATTGGGAGACCACTGGGCGTTGTTAGAGGGCTTTTTCCATACGGATGGTACCTATTTAGTCCCAAAGTATGTGGATTTCTTAAGGACAGAGACCCTGGACTTCCAGGCCCTGTTGGAGGGAGATGGAGGTGACAGGAAGCAGCAGACCCCAAACCAGATGTAGGGTAACCAGCCAAAAGTTTGTCAACCCCAGGAAAGGCTGTGTGAGTCCGTAAGTGGGAAAGGAGTTCTTCTGACGTGGAAAATCTTTTGTCACAAGGTCCATTTGCAGACACCCAGTTGCATATGTGAGGGACTGGGTCATTTTGTAGCATAAAGCCGTACGTATACAGAGGATGGCCAGACAAGGAAGGGGTGACACTGGAAGACATTGTCGTATGCACTGAATGAAGAGGGTGGCTGGGGTAGACTAGGGGGTATCCGGACTTCAGGGCAGATGGATCATGCACACAGGTGGAGCAGCTGCTAGAACCGAGGTGCGAGGCATTGTGGTAGCTCAGACAATAGGGGTCCCTGCATAATCCTTGCATGAAAGATGGAGGAGAGGCTCCGGTCAGAGGACTAGAGCTGGGTGGTTTCCCCGGCAAACCTAAAGTCCCAGGTAGCTGATTACCAACCATGCCTGTTTTGCTGTGATCCAACCCAGGGACAAACTGTGACGGGTACCCAGCATAGGCACCCACTATGGATCCATGATATCCAATGCCAGACGGTGGAAGAGGGAAGACTGAGTGTCCATGTTTGTAAGGAGATACTGGGGCCACGTGGCCAGATCCCAGGGACGGCGGCTCCGATTTGCTGCTGGGGGTAACGTCCCCGCTTTGGCTGAACTCTGCGCTGGAGTTGCTGATACTGGCTCTAGTAAGGGTGGGGTTGGCTTGAGACACCTCTGCGCTCACTTTGATGGCTTCAGGCTCTTTTTTCTCTTGTCCATCCGCATTTTTAGATTCACAGTGCTGTCCGGGGGAGCTCACCCTTGAGGACGGAGATGCGGCGTGCGGAGGGAAAGATTGACACGAACCGCTAGGCACCCTAAATCCTGCCTTGTCCGCATTGCCACCATTTGAAGATCCGCTTTCCTTTCTCGTCTCTCCTCCCTTAGAGTACGGTTTGAAGCTTGACTTGTCCTCTAGCGGAGATTCTCCCAGTTTCAGCGAAGAGCTGCGGCTGCTTTCCTTCTCGCTGCTGGAAGTCACAGAGTTCAGCTTAGACGAAGGAGGGGGATCAGGTTTTCCGATCTGAGAACAGGTTTGAGCCAGCAGGGCCAACGGACTCTTCTTAGCGTCCAACTATAGGTAAGAAAAAGAACACATTAAAGCCATTGGTAAGAGCAAAGCACACATTGTAACCTATAGAAAAGCCAACTCGAATCAGCTTTATGTTCTTTACAACTCTAAGTAAGGTAGGTCCAAAAAAAAAAAATCACAGCGTCCCTCATATCTAGTTAGCTACCTCGTGACAATTACAAGGAGTGTAAGCTCTTCTGTATATTTCCTATACATGTAACCGTAGCAATAAAACAAAAACTATAAAACTATATGCACAGACAGCGATAATTATATCCAACATACGTCGCCTGTCCCATTGACATTTATTATCAACCAGGACCGGCACGCAAGCTGAAAAATAACCGGCACATAAAGCCTTTCAGAAGCACCGACAAAGAACAAAGTGGCAAAAAGGGGTCCCATGCAAACAAGCCATCAGACGACTGGGTTACTTTAAAAACATACGCAGAATTAAATTGAGATTTCGGGCGACAAAAAACAAAGAGCGGAGCCTGAGAAAAATATAAAACACATTGATTAAACCACTCCTCTTCTTTTTTTCCCTCTCCCCTTCAACAGAGCCCAGCTATTATTTTCAGGCTATAAATCTCCTGAAACTTATCTAGAACAAAAAAAATATAATTTAATTAATAAATAAAATAATGCAGAAATATAAAAAAAAAACAAAAAACTTAGGAGACCATCAGAGATTAAAAAGAAGAACTTGCCAATATGAGACAACCAAAAAGAGCAGAGAAGACAAATGTGTTCCTGAATTATTTCTCATCAAATAAACTTTTTCTTTTTGCATGCCATACAGAGCAGATTGTTGGATCGTTTTAGAACAAGAGGCGTATTGATCATCAGCAGCTTTCTTGTAGGGAATGACAAGCTACAAACATGATGATCCCTACACAATACATCGGGATTGGGGGATCGGCTGCAATCAGAGGGCAGGGAAGCCAACACACAAACACAACACAAAGAGGAAAAGAACAAAAATAATAAAAAGCAAACAGAGCACTCCTTGTAATCAGAGGCTGTCACCGGCATTCATCAGACATGACTGGGTGTGGATACTGGAGACTTCTTATCTGATCTCCCGATATCTCAATGATAAAAAGGGCCCCCCCAATTACTGCACAACAGTAAACTTGCGGATCCCAGACTAGAGGTGACCCAGCCAAGCAGAGATCCTGCGGAACATGTGACGGCACCTCCCGAAAAGATCCCAGGGCTGATCCAGAAGCACTCCTTACCTCTATAGGGCTGACAGGGGTGGAGGAGAGAGGCTGCAAGTACTCCGGGTGCAGCAAGTGTCCTGTGTGTGCACTCAGCATTTTCAGCACCCTGATGGGCAGTCTGTTCGCCTGTCGCAGGGGGTGAGTGGGCGCTAGAGAAGGCAATGGTGCTGGAGGAGTCGGGCAGCTCTGTGGTGTGTCGGTGCTAGATCCAAGGGGAGAACAGTTCATTTGGAGGAGGGATGTCCAGGGTTGAGAGGTTCCCCTTGTGCTCCCTTTCCTCCAGCTGGCTGCAAGGCTCTGCCTGCTAAACCCAGCCCAGCGCTCTCTACACCACTTCAAAGGCTCGGGCAGGGGCGACCAATCGGAGCTCAGGGGGGCGGGGCCGGGGAGTGGCCGGAGACAGGATGGAGATTAACCCTGTCAGTGCCGTGGGGGTGAATTTCGTGCGATCCGGTGTCCTGGGAGCGCGCAGAGGACGATGTGTCTACAGACATGACAACACCTGACCTGTATACATGCAATACATACATACATGACAACACCTGTATACATACAATACATACATACAATACAGACTGGTTACATTGTATCCGCACTGTGCTATGTGACAGCAATTACCGTATCCACAGCTTGGAAATCATTGCTGTACACCCCATGGGACAGAGGCACAGGCATGACATGGTCCTTTTATTTTTGGGGTGTGTGGATGCTGAAATCAGAGCAGACGGAATCTGGAGCAGTTGCCCATAGTAACCAATCTGCTTCTCTTTTCAGTTATGAAAATGACAGAAGCTGATTGGTTGTGGGCAACTGCTCCAAAATCTGTCTGCTTTATTGCCACATACCATTTCCCCCCAGATCTAGTTACAGCAGAGCTAAACCACCCTAATTGGATGATATGTAGTTTGCTATGGGACTGTGTATCTGCATGGAGTTTGCATGTTCTCCCTGTGCTTGTGTGGGTGTACTCTGGTTTCCTCCCACACTCCAAAGACATACTGGCAGGATATTTGGCTCCAGTCTAATTTGGCCCGTGTGTGTGTGTGTGTGTGTGTGTGTGTGTGTGTGTGTGTGTGTGTGTGTGTGTGCGTGTGCACACGTGCGTGCGTGCGTGCGTGAGTGAACTAGAGACCTTAGGCTGCCTATACATTGCTAGGATTTTGGCCAATTTCTGTGAATCTCCAAAATGCCAACTGCGGGCACCACCCAAATTGTCCGCCGTACAGTGACTGCAGCCAATCAGCTGCTTTGGATATTCTGACAGCTGCGGGTCGGGGAGATGCCCCCATCTACATTGTTTAGCATGAGTGGGGGAATCAAGTGTTTTTCTTGTTTCTCACATACTGTATGTGCATGTCCAGCTTTAGATTGTAAGCTCCTGGAGGGCAGGGACTGATGTGAATGTGCACTAAGTAAAGCACTGTGTAAACTGACAGCACTATATAAATGTCTGTAATAACAATAATGAACAGCTGCCTTTTATAATAAAAAAATAAAGTTTTCATGTTTTTTTACTTTTTTTTATCTCAATGCTGCTGATGACTTGCGACCGCCTTTTTGCAGCTACTTCCTGTCTACATGCGTGTGGTTCACCGTCAGCTGCACATCAATGCTCATGGCGGCAATGGCAGAACATGTGTATGCAATGAGAGTTGGTACGGCCGCTTATAGTCTCCACCAGAATCATGGTGGGGTTTTATGAAGAAACAGAACATATGTACACATTGGAGAACAGTGAATACGTTCCCGAGCAGATTTATAAAATGATGAAACAGATACACTATGTTGCCAAAAGTATTGGGACGCCGGCCTTTACACGCACATGAACTTTAATGGCATCACAGTCTTAGTCCGTAGGGTTCAATATTGAGTTGGCCCACCCTTTGCCGCTATAACAGCTTCAACTCTTCTGGGAAGTCGTCCACAAGGTTTAGGAGTGTGTCTATGGGAGTGTTTGACCATTCTTCCAGAAGTACATTTGTGAGGTCAGGTACTGATGTTGGACGAGAAGGCCGGGCTCGCAGTCTCCGCTCTAATTCATCCCAAAGGTGTTCTATCGGGTTGAGGTCCTGGACCCTGTGCAGGCCAGTCAAGTTCCTCCACCCCAAACTCGCTCATCCATGTCTTTATGGACCTTGCTTTGTGCACTGGTGCGCAGTCATGTTGAAGCAATACTCTGCCAGCGGTGGTCATTTCTTCTCATGTATGGGTACAGACGTAGCAATACTCTGCCAGGGTGGTCATTTCTTCTCATGTATGGGTACAGACGTAGCAATACTCTGCCAAGGGTGGTCATTTCTTCTCATGTATGGGTACAGACATAGCAATACTCTGCCAGCGGTGGTCATTTCTTCTCATGTATGGGTACAGACGTAGCAATACTCTGCCAGGGTGGTTATTTCTTCTCATGTATGGGTACAGACGTAGCAATACTCTGCCAGGGTGGTTATTTCTTCTCATGTATGGGTACAGACGTAGCAATACTCTGCCAGGGTGGTTATTTCTTCTCATGTATGGGTACAGACGTAGCAATACTCTGCCAGGGTGGTTATTTCTTCTCATGTATGGGTACAGACGTAGCAATACTCTGCCAGGGTGGTTATTTCTTCTCATGTATGGGTACAGACGTAGCAATACTCTGCCAGGGTGGTTATTTCTTCTCATGTATGGGTACAGACGTAGCAATACTCTGCCAGGGTGGTTATTTCTTCTCATGTATGGGTACAGACGTAGCAATACTCTGCCAGGGTGGTTATTTCTTCTCATGTATGGGTACAGACGTAGCAATACTCTGCCAGGGTGGTTATTTCTTCTCATGTATGGGTACAGACGTAGCAATACTCTGCCAGGGTGGTTATTTCTTCTCATGTATGGGTACAGACGTAGCAATACTCTGCCAGGGTGGTTATTTCTTCTCATGTATGGGTACAGACGTAGCAATACTCTGCCAGGGTGGTTATTTCTTCTCATGTATGGGTACAGACGTAGCAATACTCTGCCAGGGTGGTTATTTCTTCTCATGTATGGGTACAGACGTAGCAATACTCTGCCAGGGTGGTTATTTCTTCTCATGTATGGGTACAGACGTAGCAATACTCTGCCAGGGTGGTTATTTCTTCTCATGTATGGGTACAGACGTAGCAATACTCTGCCAGGGTGGTTATTTCTTCTCATGTATGGGTACAGACGTAGCAATACTCTGCCAGGGTGGTTATTTCTTCTCATGTATGGGTACAGACGTAGCAATACTCTGCCAGGGTGGTTATTTCTTCTCATGTATGGGTACAGACGTAGCAATACTCTGCCAGGGTGGTTATTTCTTCTCATGTATGGGTACAGACGTAGCAATACTCTGCCAGGGTGGTTATTTCTTCTCATGTATGGGTACAGACGTAGCAATACTCTGCCAGGGGTGGTCATTTCTTCTCATGTATGGGTACAGACACAGCAATTTCTATACAACAGATGTAGATGGGTGCACTGTGAAGCATGGCATGACATGTATGGCTGTGCCTGTGATATACTGTAGAATTCAGTGCTGCAGAATCTGCCTACTTTCACATACATTTGAATGATTACTCTGTGGCTGGGAGGTATGGCTATGACAAAGTGATTTATTGCTCTGCTCAGATCTATGAACAAGCTGATGTGGACATTGTATCACCTTTTTTTCTGTGTGATGGAGACTTTTCGTACAGGCGTGATGACTATTCACTTTCCAGCTGCAGGTCTCCTGTGCTGACTGAAAGACATAGCATGCTGGGAGATGTAGTTCAACACTGGGTATGGTGTTGTGCATTTAACTACATTTTTCTTACAGTACTGGGGGTCCCTGGTTTAGATCCCAGTCAGGTCACTATCTGCAAGAAGTTTGTATGCTCTCCCTGTGTTTGTGTGGGTCTACTCCGGGTACTCCGTTTTCCTCCCACACTCCAAAGACATGCTGGAAGGTTAATGGGCTCCTGTCTAAATTGGCCCCTGTATGAATGCATGTGAGATAGGGACCTTATATTGTAAGCTCCTTGAGGGCAGGGACTGATGTGAATGTGCACTTCATAAATTGTCGGCGCCATATAAATACCAATAATAAATGAAATAAATACATTTTCTTGGGTAGGTGAAATGCACGGACAAGAGATAATCCAATGCTTTGGATCGGACCTGTTCTCACCAATGTGTTGCAGTGCTGGAAAAATTCTGTATGCCCCATGTTGGATGCATCAACTTGCATTTTTTTGCATTCAAATCAGTTCTATATAAAACACAACAAAACACGTCTAAAATGCATGTCAACGGACATCAGCACGTTAGGGCTTGTGTCCACTCACAGCACATATTGAACGCTCGCAAACAGTTCGAAAGCACAATTTGTAACATTTGTGCCTTGCTTTAGGTTGGAAGGTTGCCACTCTTGCGCTGTAACGCTTTTGCTTGCTTATGCACTATGCTATTTATTAGCAAGATCATGTGCATAGGACACATTTTGGGCAGTTCATGGATGGAAAGAGAACCGCATAACCTCTCTGTTCACCACCAGTGGATATAAGCCCTTAAGGCACATGTGAATGAGCCCTGAAGCAGTCAGAGAGCCTCAGGCAGCAAACCAGCTATAATCACATATATTTGAAGCACTGAGGATGTAGATTGTGCCCAGTATTGGAAATAAAAGAAAGCAGAGACACCAGCCCACTGTGTATGCCTTTGTTTAGTCACACTGTGATTATTAATCTCCCCGCAGGTATAAAATGTTTCATAATACTCAGAGAATGTTTTTCCTTTGCTGAACATTGTAACCAAATCACTGAGATCGCTGGAGCGGTGACGCCGCTTGAGACCGCTAGAGGGCGCCGCTAATGTTTATCTAACCTGAAGGTGCATTGCTGCTAAGGAGTGTGCAGAGGCAGCTTTGCCAGGTCACATCTTGATGAGCTCGTAGCAAGATAAAAAGTAATAAAGTACCATTGTTTGAATTATTTAAAGGTCTGCTGCTAGTGCAGGGGTCAGATTCTTTATCAGTAATTACATGTGATAAATGACTGCAGGCCTGTGTTATCAGAGGAGGTGAATGTTATTTTCTTGTCTCATTTATCTTGGAAATATTGCTATGGTACCACTCTGCCTTTTTGGAAGGAGCCCTATTCACGCCCAGAATCCTTTGCTGCCGCAGATATGACATATACATTCCTTGCTGCTCACAAAAAAAAATTGTATTGCTGTTTTAAAGCCAGGCAATTCAAAGATCTGGAGCTGGAGGAAAATACGACTGCCTGACACATTAACCTAGTACACACAAATATATTGGTCATAAAGCAATAAAGACTACATGAAAT